GATGATGATGATGATGATGATGATGATGATGATAACCCTGTATGAGTGCCTCACCCTGGCTGCTGCTGCTGGGGGACGAAGGTTCAGGCGTCCCCAACACGCCCTCAAACTCCTCCTGCAGGCGATAAGCTCTCTGCAGCAGAGACTTCAGCCTGTGGATGAACTCCACGCTGATCACGTCCTGAACAGGARCACACAGTACACGAACCTGGTCTCAGACAAACATCAGTAAAAAAAAAAAAAAAAATCACGTGGCGTCAAGTGTCTCACCTCCATGTTCTGCTCAGCGACGGCGTCTCCAGCTCCGGTTTTGACCGAGGCGCAGCTCGAGTCGTCCTCGGCCTGCCGGCTCCTGAACGTCAGCGCCTCCTCCCAGTGCAGCAGAGCCTCCTCGAACAAATCCATGCCTGAAAGGAAACGCTGCGTTACCTAAACCAAACAGCTTCTTAATGTCAACAGCTGGGAGCACAGCGACGCCAGCTTCTTTACCCATCAGGTAGAGGTTTTCAGGTGTGGCGAGGGATAAGTTGATCACGCTGGAGACGTCGGCGTCGCCCACACCGTCCCAGCAGGCGGACTCATCTGCACAGGTGCTGCTGCTGGACGAGTTCACGCTCTTTACCTGCGAAAAACAAAAAAATAAACAACTCTATAAACCAGGGTTCCTACAGCTTTAGGCAAGTTAAATTTAAGACGTTTTAATACCTCTTTAATGCCACTTGAAATAAAATTTAAGACAATTTAACTAAAAACAGTGACTATTTCACAAGAGGCATTTGGTAAATTATTAAAAAAATAAATGTTACCAATTATTTTAATATTTGAGATGAATTAGTCGCACTACTTGCAATGTTTTAACATTTTTAAGACTTCTGAAAGATTGATTTAAGACATTTTAAGGCTAATTAATGTTTTTGGATTGATGAATTCAATGCCTTTTAAGACTTTTTAAGGATCTGTAAGAACCCTGTAAACAATATAGCTTTAGAGTATGATCATCTAATCACCGCATTATTCAGAAAAAATAACTGAAATGATTCTAATAAAGAGCATAAACTGTGATCAAATAACTGCTTATATCTGATTAAATAACATCTCTGGTTTCCGTCGCGTCAGATAAATTGATTAAAACCACGGTGACTCTGACTCACCGAGACCACGCTCGCCAGAGACCCGGACAGTCTCCTGTAATCTCTCGTCGTGAGCACCAGCCCTGACCCAGCGGAGCAGGCGTTTTGAGAGTCGAGGGAAATACTGATGTTTTGGCTGGTGTCATCTGCAGAAATAACCGTTAACAAATTAAAAGACGAGAACACGGAAACAAATAAAAACATGCAGATTTGATTTTAACTCAAAGAACGGTCGGCTGGCACACAACAGAAAAACATAATCCATCACAGATTCATGAGATCTCACCGTTCTCTGCAGAGGCCTGGGCGTAGACCTCAAAGCCGGCCTGCTCCCACGGCAGCGGCTGACCCTTCTTTCTGCCCTTCCTCCTCTGGAAGCGGCGAGCGAGGAGGAGGAGCGAGATGGTGCCGAAGGCGGTGGCAGCCACYAGTTTCTTGGTGCTGGCGCTCACCTGGAGGAAAGAAACCCAAGAAAAGTTAAGGACATAATACCAGCCGACGAAGATTAAATACTTATCAAATAATTGTTGATTACTGCAGGAAAATGGCAAATCATCAGAAACATTAATACAAGTGTAGCGGAAACGTGAATATCTTCTCAACAAGAGACAGTCAAACTATTGTTCCTGTTAACTCATCTGATACTTCTCCCTTAGGCCTTAGAACAAAGAATAGACTTCCTGTCGCCASTTAATTWGTTTATCACCTCTTTCAGAATAAGACTGGAATAAACATTGTTTGACATCAAAGGGCCCCTGATGTTAAACAAGAAGAAACAAAACATCAAGACTCCCATCAGATTTACCTGTGGGTCAGCAACGCCACCCTGTGGACACTTTATTTTTCACCCATGTTTTTCATTTATAACTATAAAAAGCATCTGTGAAGTGTCAAAACAATACCTTGGTACTCTGATTTAATTACTGTAATATTCATGACATTGTTTAGTAACTTGATCTGGTTTTGATCAATTATTACTCTGTTCTTCTGTTACATGTCCGGATAGGTCATGTGACCACCGCAGAAGGTCTTGACCAATGAGAAGTTCCGTTGTGAACAAGGAGTTTTTCATTTGTTCTGCCATGTGTTGAGTTCTAAGAAGTATTGGAGAGAGTAGCTTTCAGCTCCAGCTTCGCCTATTCCGGGGCCAGGCCATTCGTTTTTCCAACTTTATTTCCTTTTTGTAGTTTAATCTGAAGGTGCTTTTCAGGAAGGAGATTTACATTGATTGAAACGATGAGGCTGATTTAATTCAAGTCGACGACCACCAGTGTGCCCGCAAGGAACACAGCCGCTGCGGTGCCCTGGACAACATCTCCAGTGAATGCAGCCCGGCAATCCAGATGACCAGGGAACTTCTGCACAGCTAAGTCACAGACTCGGTTGGACTTCACGTGCCAGCCCARTTAGCATAGAAGTATCCATTCTGGCGTCTACAAACTTTGCCGGTAGGAAACATCTTGCTTAATTAATCTGATGGTGTGTTCAAAGACTTAAATCAGATCAGAGTACATCAATGTTCATTCTTCTTCCCCTGAGCTCCCTCTTTGTTAGCTGTAGGCTTAGGAATAGCGAGTTAGTGTCTCACTGAAATATGTGTAGAAAGTTGTTCACATGGTAGCCATGCCAGATTAATTACGTCACTTCTTGATCAAGTTTAC